ATGTAGCGTTTACGGCGACCAAAATCTAAATTCTCAAGTTCAAGGGCGTGTCGCTCCAAAACGCGGTTAACGAGGTGTTTGGGACTATTTTACTGATCGAAATGACAACCCAAAGTTGACTGTTTGCACGAATCTTTATTCTTGAAAGGCAATCGACCACGAACCACAATCAATGACGAAAATAACGATTATTCTGACAGTCAATCAATCTATCGAACGATCGATCGTAAACTGAAACAACAATACAACGAAGTTCTATCAATCTAACGAAAAGCCGCGGAATACATGATCAAAGAATCGCATGTTAAATACTGGGCTCTAAAGTCTATAACGAGATTAACAATACAAGTGAAACAGAACAAAAGTTTGGAAACAAATTAAAAGAGTTTTGATGACTGATAAACAGCCCATTGTTCTATCTAAATGATGGGCGTTCACTGACTCGCAAATTGGCACGAATTTGGCCTTTAAATCTTAAATCTATACAGATCATTGCAATATTTGTTTGTATATTGTCGCCCAACACTGAAAAGACTGGAAAGGAAAAAACAAAGTTACAAAGGTACTCACATATCGGTCCCGCTTGTGCCAGAGGTTGAGAAAACGAAAGGGCGAAAGTTTACCAAGGCTATTCAAAACTTACGAAGAACTGAATAAAGGGACGCTAAATTTGCCTTTTATATGCGCGTGGTGACGCTGAAAGGTCCGATTACAAAACCAATAGATATACAGAAAAACAGATAAGCATTGTAACTATGTGGCTATCTAAGATCATTCTGAAATTAGTGAACTAATCAATAATCAATCAAAAAGTGAGCCGAATGGCTAATGTCCTTAACAGGAAGGATTTAGGATGACGATAGATATTTCCACAGGACAGTTTGTCACCCATTGGCGTTATTCAGGTATAATACTCATTCAGAGCGTCACCTTCCGCCATTTTTTCTTTGTAATTGTTTAAAGGATCCTATCCTGGACGCAATCCGGACACAATTTAATGCAAAAAGTCTTACCTGCTGCTGGTATGATAATAAAAGCAGCCAGAAAATATTAAATGATCGACAGGACCTTTCACGTGACCGAAACTAGTGCTTTTTGCCAAGACTATGAAACCGAAAGACTGTATTTTTATATAAAAAGTTATAATTTTGTGTCAAGAAATCATATTTATGGCACTGTCACCCTTTATTAAAAGGTCATTGCAAGCGCTATGCAGTCAGGTGTGTACTACTTACAATTAACTAGGCAGTCCAGCTCAATCCACTGAGTGTATAACTTCCTGCCTAACTCAGAGGAAAAATAATCTCATTCCACGTAAAATCATCGTACGAAAGGAAAATAATATGTTTTTTTCGGCGCTGAGTTGTAACGAAAATCAAATAGTTCCTACTTAGTTACAATTCTTAATTACTTGAATTATAGTCTACCAGACTGTATTTATCTAGTCACTGTAAAAGTTCCTTAAGGGAAAAAAAAAAAAAAAACAGAAAGTAGAGTCCGAACTCCGTCGAAACTTTCAAAATGGTCACAACATTCGGTTTGAATAAACTCCTTAAACTTGTAAAAATTCCAAACTGAGGGATTAAAATAAGCGTCAACGAAAACTCAAAAACAACAACCAAAAACTAAACTCCGAATGGCAAAAACAACTAAGATACGCGAGCAAAATGTACACTCCAGCCTCTTTTCAATGTCAAGGCTAAGGCCAAAGGCCCCGACACGATTGGTCAGTTCACATAAAAATTACGCACGCCATGCGTGAAAACAAAACAACACGGAGGGGGAGGGGAAAAGCGAATTGATAGTCAAAAAAGGAAGAAACTTTCAACAGAGACCTTGTTCTATAGTCTGATATTTCACCACATTAATATAACTTGTGAGAGAAATGCCAGGCTAACCAAAATCTTCCTGTGACGTAGGGTTCAATGGAAGCTTTGTTTGAAACCAACACGGTTCCTTAGTCTCTTAGAATGATCACCAACTCAAAACAACTTAAAGCTTCAATAGAAACTTTCTTTAATGGTAATTAAGTGTTTAACAATCTGAAGACATTCCCAAGACCATTTTGTTTAGACCTACGTTAATCGAATAAACCAGGTAAAACCACCCAGTGCTCCTATATGTTTTTCACTAATAAGAATTTATTTTTGAGTGGAGGAGGATTTAGGATGACGCTAGGCGTTTTCACAGGACTGTTTGTCACCCTTTATGGTTATAGATATAAAACTCATTCAGAGCGTCAACTTCCGCCATTACTCCATCGTTATTATTTAAAGTACCCTACGCTGGACGTAAACCAGACACAAATTCATGCAAACAAGTCTTACCTGCTGTAGGAATGAAAACAAAAGCGGCCAAAAAGTATCGAAGGATCAACACGACCTTACACATGAGTGAAGCTACTGCTTTATGCCAAGACTACAAAGCTGAAAGACTGTTTTCATATAATAAGTTATGATTTTGTTTGTCACCCTTTATGAATAGGTAATTGCTGGCACTAGGCAGTCACGTGCGTACTCTCTACAATTAATTATGCAGCCCAACTCAACCCACTAAAAAATTACATCCCTCCCGACTTAGAGGAAAAAAAAAAAATCTCATCCCGCGTAAAATTATCGTACGGAAAGAAAAATAATAGTATGTTTCATCGGCGCTGAGTTGTAAGGAAAATCAAATAGTTTCTGCTCAACTGCAATTCTTAATCATTTGAATCATTGTGTACTACACTACATTCATTTAGTCAGACCTTGTTCTGTAGTCCGATAGTTCACCACATCAAGTTGTGAAAGAAATGTCAGGGTTACCAATATGTTCCAGTGACGTAGTGTTCAATGGACATTTTATATGAAACCAACAAGATTCCTTAGTCTGTCAAAGTTATATGACCAACCCAAACAAACCCAAAGCTTCAATATAAACTTTCTTTTAAGGGAAATTAAGTTTGTAACAATCTGAAGACGTTCACTAGACCAGTTTGTTTAGATCCACCTTAATTGAATAGAACCAGGTAAAACCACCTGGTGCTTCTATATGGGTTTTACTCAGTATGAATTTGTGTTTAGCTGAAGGAGGACTTGGATGACGAGAGACGTTTTCTCAGAAATGATTGTCACCCTTCAGCGTTACAGATATAATACTCATTCAGAGCATGAACCTCGCCATTTCTCCATTGTTAATGTTTAAAGGATCCTCTCCTCGACGCAAACCGGACACAAATTTGTGCAAACAAGTCTTACGTGCTGTAGGAATGATAACAAAAGCGGCCAGAATATATTGAAGGATCAACAGGCCTTTATACATGACTGAGAATTTGCTTTATGCTAAGACTACGAACGTCAAAGACTACTTTAACTGCGTTGTAAGTGATTTACAAGTACAATTTTGTGTCACGAAATCATATCACCCTCTGTTAAAAGGTCATTACTGGCGCTACGCAGTCAATTGTACCTAATTAATTATGCAGTCCGACTCAATCGACTAAATTACTTTCTACCTGACTTATAGGAAAAATAAATTTCATCCCATGTAAAATCATCCTATGGAAAGGAAAATGATAATATGTTTAATCGGCGTTGAGTTTCTAACGAAAGTGAAATAGTTTAATTGTTTTGAATTATTCTGTACTGCAACGCACTTTTTTAGCCGGACTTGTTCTGCGGTCTGATATTGTCTCACCGTACCAAAGAAATATTGATGGCTGATTTTGTATTTCCTTCAAACATAAGCAAACAAATGAATAGATAACGGAAAAAATTCAAAAGAAAACAACGATAAAACAGCAAAAGCAGCAACAAACACAGGATTTTCTTGTGAAGAGATCTGAACATCAAGTGGAGTGGATATTAATGTCCACATAATAAAGAATGAGGTACAGGGAGTTTTGTTTTTTAAGGATAGCAGACTGTATCGAAGACTACCCCTTATAATAGATTTTAGAGGCCGCTGATACCTTTGGCGAAATATTCTGTTTGTACTTTTACTGGATTTAGTTTGAATTGGCAGCTCTTTTCCTGTAACTTAAGTGTTTCTGTGACGTAGGGTTCAATATGGACGCCTTATGAGGAACCAACAAGATCCGTTAGTTTATCAGAATGAATGATGAACATGATCCCAAACGAATTGAGAGCTTCTCTAGAAACGTTCATTAAATGAGAATATGATTGCTTTGTTTTTTTCAAGGTAAAATTTCCTTAGTGGTATCTCATTTCACCATCTAGCACTACCTCGGAAGCAATCTTTTCTTCAGGGGAGGGGGGAGACAGGTGGCTACAAGGTCACGCATCAATAGTCACTACTAAATTACCTGTTTGTCATCTTTATTTTTCTACTACATTCCTTTTAAGTGTACTTTTTAAAAAAGATGGAGAACATACAAACAAGAATTTAAAAGCTGCTTCAAGAAGGCTTCCTTATCATCAGAGAAGTGTAAAGATTAGATTGGTACCTCTTACACCCTTATTTAATGGATTCATTGGTACGAATTTTAGCTTTTTCAGCCTCATTTTGAAATACAAGTTTGTATGTTAAGCCAGTTGCGAATAAGATACTGGACATGATTACCGAGAAAATTTGAGACAATGAACGAGGTATAAGTGACTTCATGTCTACACATTTAAGTCCTCGACGTTTGCGTACAACTGCTTGTTGTGCATTTTCATGTTGATCAGCTGCTGTAAAGCGAAAAATTATATTCAGCTATTCTTACCTCTCGAAATGTGCAACATCTGGAGACCTTAATTATATTTTGATGCAAGCTATCAGCTGTCACGATAACTACTCGCTCGTGTCCATAAGCTAATCAGGTGTAATATTACGTGACATTGATAGACGCTAAATATTAATTAAATATAAATATATATTTAGCGTAAATGGCTAAGTCTTTATCCCACCACGAACAAATTTCACTCTGTTATGATTATCGAAAGTCTCGCCTTGTGTAGGGTTTCCGTTTCCTTGAGCTGCTTTCTTAATTCAGTGAATGTTGGTCATTTTGCAAGCATCTCATCATGATCTGGTACCTGGTACTCATGAGATGGAACATGTTCAACAAACAAACGAGCGTGTGAAAGTGTAGTCTGATCGTCCGGGTGAGTGTAGTCCTGAGAAGGACTGTTGTCGGTGATAGTGATTGACGTTTCGACAACTTGTGCGGAAGTCATCATTCAGAGTCAAGTGAATAATTGTTGTCAGTAGAATGTTCTTATTTCAGTTCGTGTAAAATGATTGGTCAGTTTTGCCGTGATGTTATTGGCTGTAAGATTCAAGGGGAGTAAGACGGTCGTGATTGATCTGTTTCGATCCGTCGGTAAAGTTAGGTCGTTCTGTTCGGTTCGCTTGTAATGTTCATGTCGTGAATGAGTCGTTTATATGGAGCCGTAGTAAGTGACACCTGTTTAGGAGAGTCTGTTCTTTCCAGAGTCAGTCGTTGAAAGTAGTCAGTGCTGTAGGTTAGGCATTGCGCAGAGTCCCAGTCAATAATGTGGTTCGTAAGTCGATGATGTTCAGCAACGTGATTGTTGACATCACCTTTCCTCGTCGCCCGTCTGTGTTAAGTGAGTCTTGTTGTGAGGTTTCTGCTAGTCTCTCCGATGTAGGAGCCGGGCTTGGCAGTCGGAGCAGATGATCTTATAAATCGCTCCCTGTCTGTTCCTCGGTTCGTCTTTGTCTTTAGCGTTGGTTAGTAACTGACGTAGTGTGGTGATGGGTTTGTGGGCGACGCGGATATCATTGAAGGGTTGTAAGATCCGCGAGATGTTCTCAGACATGCCTTTTATGTACGGTATGGTTGCTGTAGTCGTAGGAATTGCGGTGTCGTTTGTTTCGGTAGTGGTAGTGGGTCGGTGAGTGTTTCGTCGAATGAAGTCGTCGCTGTAGTTGTTCTTTGAAAAAAACACGGTGAAGGTATTTGTTCTCGTCGGATAAGCTGTCTGTCGAGTCGCATACTAGTTGCGCGCGTCGTGTTAGAGTTCTGATAGTTGTGGCTTTGTGTGATGTATGGTTGTAGGATGACTCGTCTAGTAATCCGTCAGTGTGTGTTTCCTGTAAACTGTCCTCCGTAGTGAGTTGTCGTTACGGCTTACCAGACAGTCTAGAAAAGGAAGTTTGCCATTTTCTTCGACTTCTCCGCTGGCAAACTGCATATCAGTGTTTTGTCCGTTAAGGTGGTGGTGGAATGCGTCGATTTCGTCGTGTCGTACGGCGGGGAAAAAACAAACGAGCATAAAAGAAATATACGTTTTTGTTCTTATGAAGCAGTTAACATTAAAATCCTTTAGATTCCACTGTAACCGATAACAATCGTTCAGCGAAATACGTCTTTAAATGGGACCAACGACAAACCAGATTTGACAACCGCTCGCCCTTGGTTACTTCTATCAATTATGTTAAGGGGTCTCCAAGTTGAAAAACGGTAGGACAGCTTAAAATTTTTTGTCCACATGCTGTGGCTTGGGCATT